TTATATATATATATATAATTTAGAAGATTTTCAAAAAATTCCATATCATACATAACACACAGTTGAAACATTAACAACTGAGTCTGCTACTGGTACATTGACAAATCATCCACTATTGCAATAAACAGGTGTGTGTGTGTGTGCATAAACATACAAATTGATTCACTATCACAATAAATATGTTTTCTGGACATTAACACACAAATCAGAACATGCATAAATACACCGTTAGACATTAAAAGCATGTAAGGCGTGTTTATGGTTGACAACTCACAATGAGAAGAAGAATGAGTGAACATGGTGAAATGTTACAGAGGTTTATAGCCCTTATCAACTAAGTATGAGTCTACGACATGTCTTATAAAAGCGATATAAAATTGGCTTTTATGGTCATGAAAGTCATCATAATATTACGAGATAGATCATTAGTCACATCAGTTTATGTAGTCGTAGAAAAATGTCATAACATCGTCATGCATCTATAATAACATTATGGAGATGGTGATAATAAAATTGGATCACTCATGGGGTAGTAGATTACAAATTATTAGCTGTCAAAAAGATGAGGTTCGAGATTGTAAATTGTGTCAAATGTGTCACCTGTCTGATTTTGTATAATAATATGATAATGGAATGTTATTCCAACTGGCGGCCCAGAATAAAAAAAAACAGCAATAAAAAACCCCAAAGTTTTTTCTCAAAAACATTTTACCATTGCCCCCGGCACGACTGGCGTACATTATCAGTTGATGACTTGGACATTTTTGATGGTTAATAGATCTGCAGCTGTTCTATTAAATTTGAAAACTGATGAGTTTTTGTCTGTTCGTTCTTGTTGTTTTTGTTTATTTGTCTGTTATTTGTTTTTGTAAGTGTTTTACTGTGCTCGCAACGGCATAAGGTCACATGAGTGCTCAGGGCACATTGAACGTTTTCAGTTTGGTAGGAATTTATTTTTAATTCTGCACTGTTGCTGCTAAAAACGTTTCTTTTATCGATTTTAGGATCCCCAGGGAATCTTTAACATGCGCAACTTGCACACAGGAACTTCGAGAATTTTTCACCCTTGTCCGAGAAGACTAGGTATTAGATTGTACCTAACCTAAGAAAAGGGATGCGGCTGAAAGACCGCAGTAAGAATGATCCAAGGAGTAGCAGTAGGCAGTAGAAAGGCTGCAGAATGAGTCAGGATCCCAGAGGAGGGGGCAAAAGAGATTAGAGAGTGGGAGCAGAATGTGGAGACGAAAGCAGACGATAGATGACAGGAGAACATTTTAGAGCAGAAAATTTTCTGTTGCAATCCGGATACCAACCCGGGACCTACTGAGTGAGAGGCAAACCCCTTAACCCCTGGGCCACGAGAGCCCTCTGCACACAGATGTGTGGTGATGTTAATACACTGTTTAATTTAAAACACGTTATGCGGGAGAAAGAGAGAGATAGAGAGAGAGAGAGAGAGCGAGAGAGAGAGAGAGAGAGAGAGAGAGAGAGAGACAGACAGACAGGCAGACAGACAGACAGACAGACAGACAGACAGACAGACAGACAGACAGACGGACAGACAGACAGACAGACAAGCAAACAGACATAGAGAGACAGAGAGAGAGACAGAGAGAGAGAGGGGGGAGAGAGAGAGAGAGAGAGAGAGAGAGAGAGAGAGAGAGAGAGAGAGAGAGAGAGAGAGAGAGAGAGAGTTGCACGTCGTCCACCCCATTGTTTTGTCTGAGACCACCTGTGTCCAATGGGAATAGTTATGAGAAATGCGCCATTGTCATCACCATAAAACGACCCCAAACAGACATCGGCTATTATGCTTTTCGATTCATTTCTCCGCTCGAGTGCTCTAAAAAATCTGGTAACATTGTCCTGGTGTTTCGCCGTCACCCATGATTATTGTTGCTATTATTATGTTCAGATATTCCCTATTAAGCTTATCTCGGTTTTCCCTTGCCTCGTTTGCCTTCTACTTTTTTCCATCAAAAGAGAGCCATACCTACCTATCGTTATGCCCTATGTATGTGCTCTTTTGGTGTTTGTCAAATAAGGCGTTTAGATGCACACTTTTTGCAATATTATAATCTGAATGCAGTACTGTAAACACTGTGCTTATCAGTTCCTGCCTTGACCATCAATGATTTATTTATAGAGGCACCAGCCATCCATGTCCAGGTGCTGTTTCAGCCTGATCAGTCCCTGCATTAAGAAATATTGAGCAAGGAGTCACAAAAAAATGTATTATATTTAATCTTGTACAGGAAGAAATGAATTATCTCACTTTTCATGCTATCTTGGGTTACACGTTTTGAACGGCTTATAGAATTTAATAGTGCTGTAAATCTAGTGGCAACAGGCGCCAACCAGCCCCCCACCCTCCCCGCCCCCAACCACACACACACACATACACACACACACTCACAAACACACACACAGACACACACACATTTGTATATATACAATTTTATATATATATATATATATATATATATATGTATATTTATACAAACTGGTCACCGCAAAGTTAAAAAGAAAGTTATGAAATTCAGAGTGTTAATCAGAAATAAAGGGAAATGGATTGTTTTCCTTATTTTTTATGTTTTGGGTTGTTTTTGGGTTTTTTGGAATAGGGTGTTCTATGGTTTTGTTTCTTTTTCCTTTTATTTTTTTTCTTTTTATTTTTTTCGGGGGGGAGGGGGTAGTGTTATTATGCAAAATGTCTTCAAGGTATCCCTGGGGGTTTCAAGACGTGTAAGAGATGTCTTTTATAGTTGAATGAATTAAATCGTTATCCAATGCCCTGATGAAATATTAATGTCCTCTTTCGCCTTGGGCTACTGCAGCTAGCTAAAATGCTTAAAATTCGCTTTGTTCTTGGAGTCAAGGAGATGAAATTATTGAAACGACATTTCCGTAGCTTCTGTAAAGCGATTCAGAAATATGATATACTATCTGGGCCCCCTTTCTATGAAAGGAATGATCGGTGCTTTAATATACGCTAAAAGTCATTGGCCTACTATATTTACACTCTACTTTAATAGGGCAATATTAATATTGAGAGATGCAAAAAATTAGGTCTAGATCTATACTCTCAAAACAAAATGCGCCTCGCGAAATATCACTTCCGGATTTTCTAAAATTACAGAGACAGAAGCGTCGGCCTACAAAAGCGATCGGCGAAATAAATAAATTTAGCTTTTTGCAGCAAAACTGTCTCAAAACTGAAAACACCAAGGGCGCCATGATCTGGAGAATATTTTAAAGAATTTTTTGGCGAAAACCGCTTGTCGATCGATGCAGCCATTAAAAAGCCTTTTGAATAGCAAAATTCGGCCACCACGAATAGATAATAGAAGTGACCGGGTTTTCCCCTAATATTGGCTTCAGTGGAAGGCTATTTATTCGAGCGCAAACTTTTATTTTCATAAGTAGCACCAAAGATCGTTCATAACAAGTTAGTTCACATGGTCAAAAAGTGTCCGCGGGTTAAGATGACGTTGCAGTGTGAAGCTCTCTTTCGTTTCTCCAGGAGAATAACAGGAACATCACAATTTGTTCGTTTCGCTTTTATTGTTTTCCTCACCAGTAGGGGAACTCTGTTCGCAAAGTCCGCACTTTTTCGAAGAGGGCGCCATCGAATTTCGAAAACACTTTTTTAATTGGCTCAAAGAGAGGAGTGAAAAATCTTGTTATACACGATCTTTGGTAGCACTTAGACCTAGTACACAAGGGTGTGGAGAGTCGTATTCTTTAGGTAGGTGCTTTTTTACGACTAAACCTAGTAAGGTCATTTCCCCCTTATTCGAGGAGCCTTGCGCTGACCTTTCTCACGCTGTGTGGTAATGGTGGCATCGGTAGCCTTGTGGTTAGGCTACCGGAATCGTAATCGTGAGATTGCGGGTTCGTGGGCTTGAGCCCCAGCTCGGCACGACGTAGTGTCCTTGGGAAAGGACTTTTCACAAATTCCCACTTGGCTCGGTCCTTTAGGAGATGGACGTTTAACTCGGAGGTCCCGCCTCTTAAAACAACCTAACAGTGTTGACAGGGGGCGTTAAACCTATACAGTTGACAGTATGGTAATGTCAGTGTATGGAAGGTGGGGGGTGGGGGCGTTCAACCTATACAGTTGACAGTATGGTAATGTCAGTGTGTGGAAGGTGGGAAGGGGGGGGGGAGGGCAAATAAGGAGTTAAAGCTATTTTTTTTATAATTGGTTGTTGTTTGGGGGTGGGGGTTGTCTTTGATTTTTATTGCATATTTTGTTTGTATGCTGGTATTTGTTTTGTTTTTGTTTTGTTGGTTGTTTTTTTTCGCTGTTTTTGTTTGTTTGTTCATTTGTTTGTTGTTGTTGTTGTTTGTTTTTTGTTTTGCTCTTTTTAGGGGGGGGGGGTCGTGCTTTAAAAGATGTAAGAGTAATAATGGAAAAATGAGATGCTATTTACGTGCGATAGTGAACATACACCGAGAGGAAACCAGTTCCCAGGAAAAGGTCATCTATGAATAGAGCACAGCTTTTTAAAAAGCTGGCAAAACAAGAGACAAATGCGGACCCATTAAACTGCCACACAGAACATCTAAGGACAAT